GCTGATGATTTAATTAAAGATGAAAGAATTTAGACCGTTTTTAACTCTTGGTGTTCATTTGACTTTGGGACCTGAAGCTGATGGAGTTTTGGACCCAGATTACTCCGCGAAGCTCCAACAGTAAGCACAACCAGAATTCATACATGAGGCACACTCTCGATTTTTGAGAAAATTAAAGGATTTTAAGTGTGCCTTATAGTGTGGAAAATACGTTATACAGAAGAAAAGAATATATCGTGATATATATCGTTACCGCACATGCTTCAAATTATATCGCGATATGAATTTCAGGCCATATCGCCCAGCCCTAACTGACGGATCATTTGATTTTACACTTTTACCTGAATGTGGGTCCTTTTTTTTGGAAGAAACTTCCTTATATCCATTATGAACCTGGCTGTCTCTCTGTACACAAACACACACAACAGGAGTTATAAAGTTAATGGGCATTCAGTCAGTTAGCTAGTTAGTATCCATTTAAAACAGGACAGTGGTAACAACAGTAGGCTACGGACAAGTTTAAGTTTTAGATTTTAAATAGGCTATATACATTTCGATGGGAGCAACAGGACGGTCAAATGTCGCTGATTTTACTACAGAGCAGGACGGATTGTAGGGTAGCAAACATCGTTGGAAAACAAGTTTTCAACACTGCAGGTTACCTGGGTGTAATGTTTTTCAGCTAAAAAGAAACATGGTCTGACTCCTACCTAACAATCCTGTTAATAAAGCTCTAACAAGTACTATCTAAAAAATGCTCTACTAACAGAATACTTGCCTGTTTAAAAATATTCATGGTCCTGGGGTAGCTCCTCCAGGACAGACACCTCAGCAGATAGCTGGTCCCGCCAGGGAGCACCACTGACTGCCTCCAAACCCATCTCCCCCTCATTTTGCACATCATCCTCCGGGTCCATAGCGTCACCAGCACCGAGGCAGATGTTGTGTAGGACAGCACATGCTGTTATGACCTGAAACATATGTTTGTTTGTTTTTAAAAAAAAACAAAAACAAAAAAGGTGTTTATAAATGTACATACACTAAAGTTATTTTTAGTGTATGTACACTTATTTGAAAAAGAATGGGACTATATTGTAATATGTGGTACAAAGGTGTGGTGCACCTCCAGCGCTTGAAGGAAGATGGCCCAGAACCTCGTCTTCATCATTCCAAAAGCACGCTCTATAATAGAGCGTGCCCTGGAATGATGAGAGTTGAAGCACTGGGCTCCCACACCTTGAACTGGCCTCTTGTACGGAGTGATGAGGGGAAGTGGATGCTGGAGACATGGGTACCCTCCATCTTCTAAGATGAAATGCCCTGGTGGAGGGTAAATGGCCTGCCGGTACAGTGGGCTGTTGCGTAGCACCCTGGAGTCATGCACTGACCCAGGCCAGCCCACATATGTATCAATGAAGCGGCCCTGATGGTCACAAACTGCCTGCAGGAGTATGGATGGGAACAATTTCCTGTTTCTGTAGCACTGACCATCAGGGCCGCTGGGAGGCTTGATGTGGACATGGCAGCTGTCAACTGCACCAGCAGCCTTTAAAAAGGCTCTGTGTCTTGCCAGCCCTGCAAACCCATGAGACAGGACATCTAGGTCTTCAGGAGTCCGAGGGAGATGGATAACCTGATGGCGAATAGCCACCACCTCCTCTGTGACCCTGTGGACGATGCGGTGAACAGTGGAGCGAGGAATAGCAAACACTCTGGAAACAACTCTGTAGGATGCTCCACTTGCCAGCCAGAAAAAAATAAACACAAGGACCTCAATAGGGGCACCCCAACCATGTGGCCGATCCTGGTTAAGGAGGTTCAGCAGCACTTTCAGAGACTCCCTGCTCAGACGAAAATCAGGCCTAGTGTCCTCAGTATTAAAAAACCTGTCCAGGACTGGGACACTCAGGTTAATCCTGCAGTACTGTGGTCTCGCCTGGTGAGGAAATAAAAAACAAATAAGGAAAATGTTTTATTCTTGTAATTATTATGAATGTTGCTCTTGTTCTTTAAAAAACGTGTCAAAACTTTATTTTGATTATCATACTTCACTGGTTAACTGATAAAAGATAAAAAAGCGAATAAAATCACTTCTACATCGGAGTTTTATTTAGCTAGTAAACAGATTTCAAATACACACATAAACGATGGGGAAAAAAACTGAAGACATGTATTTTCACTGTACCTGAACTCAGTTATCTCTTAGTCGGAGATAAATCAGTCGTCTGCGACGGCTGATTTGTTGTAACTCTTCGATTAACAAAAATAAGAGAAAAATACAGAGAGTTTCAACGATATCCATTATTTCACTGAGGGGGAGAAAGCGGTAAGGGCGGGGAGAAGTGGTAAGGGCGGAAACAGCTGGTGACGCAAATCTGAAGGCTAGACCGTCCCATTTCACAAGCCTCGCACTTCCGGCCTTCTCGGTCTTCGAAGGACCCGGCCCATGTAGACCGCGAAGGCCGAGTCCTCCGAAGGATGCAGCCGACGTTTTGGGACACAGCTTATATAAAGAGTAATTGAAGGTTAAATGCAGCTAATATGTCCTGTTTTAAGCCAGGCTCCGCTGCGTCTAGCAGCAATGGTGCTAGAGCCAGCGTAGGGGAGAGGCGAGCTGGAACAAATCATTTTGGGAGGGAGGGGGGTATCTATACTTTTGTTGTTAAAATGTTATGTTTCAACCAAGTACTGTATGCTTTTTATATTTTTAGTAGTGTGTCACACAAATGGCAAATATTGTCAAAAAAGTAAGAAATCTTTGGGGGTGCTTTGATTCATTTTGGGGGTGCTGAAACACCCCCCAAAATAGGCTAAAATCGCCCCTGCGAGGGACTGCTGTAATTTTGATCACAACATACTTGTTGTAAATACTAATATATAGAGACCCTTGC